AACAGTCAATAAAATAACTATTGTTTCCTAGCGGTCCGTAAAGTGCCCATTATTACCCTAGGGAAATAATGGTCGCTCTATAGACCTTGCTATTGATGAATGAAGTCCTCATTATTACCCTAGGCCACTAAAGGATTCTTTACTGACCGCTGGTCTAATATGGAGGAACTTAGCATGTACAGGCACAAATTGGAAATATCATCGTTCGACTATAAAGACACACCTACTACAGTTCATAATCTACTATTTTTAATTTCTTTTACTGTACATTTGTCATCGTTATTTTTTTATCACTACAATTCATTAAATATCGTAAATGTTAAAAATTATATGAATTGTTTACAAACAGTTGTATTATAAACCGTTTATGAAGGTAATTTTCATGGGAGCATTAGTGGTTCTTCTTTGCGGTTTCTTTGACCATACTCTCTGTATGGCGATTCACACTTTGGAGTGAAAATTTTTTTTCACTGGACTATTAAAAAGAACTCACATTAATACTGTTGAGGGGTGCAGGAGGGCTGATGCCCCTGCGGCCCCCGCCGCCGATCTCCGCCTCCAGATTGATTGATTTGATCCCGATTAAAAGGTACTTTCTTCAAGATTTACACTTTCCGTTTGATATTAATATATTGCTTCTCCTAAGATGTTACGCTTTGTTGAATAGTACTCTGTAGCATAATACACGCACTTTTCACAAAAGGGGACAATTTTCTTTTTCAATCTCTTTTTTGGGACAGAGAAAGAGACCACGTGGTGAGAAATTCACTTCAACAAGTAGTTGCCTATATCAAACTGTTCATCGCACACTATACTCCACTATTTCTTCATACACTTGTATTTTAATTTTTAAACAAATATCAACTACTCGATTTTCGAACTTCTCCTTGAAACTCTAATGAATAAATTTAGGAATATTGAGGATTGAAATCAAATCGAAGATGATCCTAAAGAACTTATGGAGTCGCCATGTGGTGCCCAGATCAGCTGTTTTCTTCACAACCCACAATGTTTACTATTTGGACATTTTTTCAAAATTAGGGAGGGGGAACACTCGCGAACACGTGACTAGGTCCGCTTTTTGTGGGGAAAATAGATGGGGAAGGTAGAAAAAAAAATTTTAAAGGAAGACCTTATCACAGGGTTGGGTTGCTATTGTTGAGAATAGAGAAGAAGAAAAATAAGGTTGGTACATGCGGTTGATTTTTGAATCGCGGTTCCGCGCGGGAGATTTTCGGTCGCGCATATATGTGTGTACAAGGCACGTCGTTGATCACAACACTGACCGCGCACGTAACTTGGTTAAAAAACAGAAGCGACAAACAACGGTTGCGGGGCCCGATACGAACCGGCCAACCAGCCAACTGACCGTTCCAAACAAAATCCACCACTCTCTTTGAATCTCATGCAGCACTGTATAAGTTTTACCACGTTGGTCGGCTTATCCGCGTACTTGGTTTGAACGCGACTCTGGAATTGCCGTGGCGCCACCCTCCCCCCTCTCGATGGTGTTTACCCCCCCGTTGGCCGCCCCCTTCACCGCCTTCTCCCAGCTACTACAACCATCATCATCGTTCTCTTTCTCGTTTTCTCTTCATTCTCATTTTTCCTTCTCTCTCTCTCTCTTTCTCTCTTTTCAACCTCATCCTCCTCCTTCTCTCTTTCACCGACATTAAATTCTCATACTCTTCTTCATTCCTCACCCAACCTCCCACTATACCCTGGTTTTTCCCTATAATTTACTCCTCGAGCCAGGCCTTTTTTTGTTGTTTTATTCCGTTTTCGTTACCCTCTCTGTTGCCTTACGCGCCAGCCATGAATCTTTGCCGGGGCCACGACGCGACCGCCCATTTAATAGAGCTCCGCGATACCCGGCTTTCATAGTTACGTGTGTCGCCATCTGTTGGTGCATTCCTTCAACTGTTACCAGTTAATTGATCAGGTACGAAGGCAGTGTTTTTTAAACCCTGTGTGGAAAGATTTAGGGATTTTTTTACGAATAATACTAATTGTATTTTTAGTTTCATCAAACGCAGAATTATTTTTAGTTAATTTAGTAAAATTTATTAATTAATTTAGGGATAATTCCACCAACCTCAAATAAAAGTTAATCAATGATTAAAGCCAGTTTAACGGCTTATGTTTGATTAAAAGTTAATCAACGATTAAAGTCATTATAACCGCCCATGCTTGGTTGGTTAAGGGTTTAATCATTGATTAACTTTTAATCGTTATTGATGAAACTGTCCCTTAATTTACTTTTTTTGTGAAGAAAAATTGTGGGGAATTAAACCTTTTTAAAATTGTGGTTTCAACCCCATTATAGTAATTTTAACAAATTCTGATTAAAAGTTAGTCAGTAATTGAAGATATTTTTATGACACCTTATTGATTGATTAAGGGCCAGTTTCAACAACTCCGATTAAAAGTTAATCAACGATTAAAGTCATTATATAGCCGCCCATTCTTGGTCGGTTAAGGATTTAATCATTGATTAACTTTTAATCGGAGTTGGTGAAACTGGCCCTTAGTCATTGACCATGCAATATTGCAGGAAGCATACACGACAAGCTTCCTGTGTTTGGGACATTACAAGCTTGCAGAAAGCTTACTAAACTCAAAAGAAGCTTACCGCTCTCTAAATCTGAATTAGTAGAAAGTTACTAATAAAATGGTGAAAAGTCGTCCACCAAATGATTTAGTAATATATTACTAACAAATAGTGAATTTTACTAATTGATTAGTAGATTTCTACTAACAATTAGTAGAACTGTTTTATTAATAATTGATAAAACAGTTTTACTAATTCATTTAGTGAAATGAGTGACTTTTAATTAGTGAATTTCTACTAAAACATTAGTAAAATTTTACTAAGAATTAGTAATATTCTACTAATTGAAAAGGGCAAAAGTCGTCCATGAAAACTACTAAAAATTAGTCAAATTTTACTATTTCTTAGTAGAATTCTACTAATTCAGATTTAGAGAGCGCAAACTTTTATAAAAATTTAACCCTTTAGCACCTCCGTAAAGGGAGGAGGAAATTTTTAAAAACAAAACATGTTCTTAGAGGGTTTTAGGGAAGCTGATTACAAATTTAAGGTCAGTTTTTCAAAATTTAAAATGGCGGATCCAATATGGCGAACAATTTTTTTTAATTTGTTGAATTTGCTTGAAATTTGATACTCGGGGGTTTTTGGAGTCGCACTGATTACTAATAATTATGATGTTACTTTTTCAAAATTCAAAATGGCGGACAACATTTTAAAAATCTAATCCAATTTTCTTGTATAATTTCTTATTCGGAGATATTTTAGGGCACTGATTATAATTTTGATGCCATTTTTTGAAAATTCATATTACATTCGTTATTTTGAATACACAGCGACCTTAAAAAATCCGGTGTAACGAGTTTTATGAAAATTCGTAATTTTAACAACTGTTTATAATTTTTTTAAAACAATAGCAAATTTTAGATACTCCCTTATTGTCTAGATATTTTTGAAGCCTTCTCTTTGCTGAAGAAAACCCACCAAATTTAAATAATAATTTAATCGATCAATCTATACTTGATCAAATATTTATTTAAGTTAAATAAACTATATTTATTATAATAAAAACTTGAGATAATTCAATAAAATATAGTTATTGATTCAAAAATAAATTTTTCTTGATTGCTCAATATTATAAAGTTAATTATACAAATAAATATTAGAAATATTTTGAGCGTTCAAATAAACGATGTTTTTGATATGTTACACTTCTTTTAATTTGTATTTTATTGTAAAAATTAATTGTTCACTAAATAAATATTTAATTTATATTTTCTATTTTACACTAAAAAAAATTATTTAATTCCAATAACCGCGATTATTACTTGTCTATTATCAATTAAATATTTACTTGAATCATATAAGTTCTATTTAAATCAATTTAAATTGTATTTAAATAAATAATTTTAGTAATTGAAGCAAATATCATTTAATTGATTCAAATAAAAATTATTTTATTCAAGTAGATATTTAATTGTTAATAGTCAAATAATCGGCTATTTGAATCGAATAAATTGTTTAGTGCAGGATATATATTGCAAAATTTTTTAAATATTGAAATTGAAAATAAATTATGTTCATTTGACCATTCAAAACTTTATAGGCGCTTATTATTGATGATTTTTGTTCAAATAAAATTTTTATTTCCACTCAAAAAAAAAAGTCTTTATGCCAAATATTTATACTTGAATCAAATTATTTTTAGTTAAATGAAATAAATTTTATTTAGACCAATAATTTCTGTTTTTTCGAAAGAAATAATATTTAATAATTTAAATAAAAATTATTTGATACAAATAAATATTTATTTTATAATAAACAAGTAATCGTTTATTTGAATCAAATAAATTTATTCTAATTTGTATATTTATTGATAGTATATAGTTAAAAATATTTTTAGCTTCAATTTTTTAATCAAATTTATAAACAAAAACTAATTAGTGTAATAAAGTATTAGCTTCAATTAATAGTAGTTTCAATCAATTTTACTGTATTGGAATTGTAATCATAAAGTTCCAAAAGGTCTATTATATTTTAAAATTAATATTATCTTTAAATAATCATAATAATTAAGTGATTAAATTTATAAAATTTTCCAATTTAGTTTTTTTTTTTAAATTGACAATTTCAAAATTTAAATTTTTGATTATTGTTTCGTTTTCGCAAAAAAGTTGTGTTTTATCAAACAATTAAAAAATTTCTATAATGTTTTTTTCATTTTTTTATTAAAAATAAATAAAATAACTAATTTAATGTAAATAATTAATTTTAATTTACTGAAAGTTTAATTTTGTCTTCTTTTTATAAAATAATAAAACTGTTTTCAATTAAAGAATAAAAATGTAAGGCCAATTAAATTGATAATTAAACAGGAATATACACAATAAAAAACGGAAATGATTTTTTCTTTTTTTTATTCACATATTTACAAGATTTTATTTACAGTTTAATTATTTACATAATTATTATGCTTGTAAAATATACAAAAAGTGTACATGCGCAGTACCATCTCTACTTTTCTCTATTTCCAAATAAAATATATTACAGTAAACATTTTAGAATACAGTCTTGTTTGGAATATTATTTATACATAAGCACAATGTTTATTTATTAATAATATTTTTAAAATTTGCAATATTCGTTATAATTAGATTGGTATTTGGATACGAAGAATATTGTACAGGTTTTTAATTTTTTTTTTTATAAAAATAGATTGTTTCTATTGTTTTAAAGTCATCGTTATGAAGATAAAAATCGAGTATAAAATCTAACGGGTAATAATTTAATGATTCGAATAACTTAAGTAGAATTCTGTACATATATATAGACATCTCCTGCATTTGACCTTAAATAATAATTCGAAGGAACTTATATATTAACAGCCTCGTTTTTTTACCTTGATGGAAAATATTTCATCAAGGTTTGGTAAAAAGACGGAAAAATCCTATATATATGATTTTTGTCATTTTCCGATAATTTTAGTATTGGAACAAAATTGTTCTTGCATTTAATCACAATGAGGTATGGCTCAATATTGCCATATTTTTAGTCACATGTCCCTAAAGTTTTTTTTATTTACACTGTGTCATTTATTACTATTTTTGAAAATATTCGAACAGAAGGAATGGTTAATTTGAACGTTGGAAACTTTAGGGGTATTCAGTCACAAAGATCAGTGGGGGGATGAGTAAAATTGATGAAATTAAAAATTTCCTAATAATTGAAAATTCTAAATAGCGAGGTAATTTAAATTCTCAATATACTGTGGCACTTGATGTGATACGGGATGCGTCACTGTTCTTCTTGTTTGAGGCACATTTTCCTGATTCTCATTGCTGATTTGCTTATTCTTTTTCGTTGTTGTTTTTGTCTGCTTCAAATGTGTTTTGATGTGTTTTGTTAAATGATCGCTGCGCATAAATCTCTTCTCACAAGTGGGACAGGTGAATCTCTTCTCGCCAGTGTGTATTCTCCTGTGTCGTTGGAGTTCATCAGTTCTCGTGAAACTCTTGCCGCAAAAGATGTATTCACAAATGTATGGTTTCTCGCCAGTGTGACCACGTAAATGGGCCTTGAGATGAGACGTCTTTCCGTAGAGTTTATCACAGCCCGGATAGAAGCACGTGTGTCCTCTCTTACCATCTGTTGCCAATTTGTATCCGGTCACCAATTGACAATTCGGACATTGGCATCTGCTGCTCTTTCGATTCGTTCCTTTTGGTTTTGGCTGGGATTTTTCGATCAGGATCTCATTGGATGATGTTGTCATTGTTGATATGTAGGTGTGATAGGCAGGAATGCGACTTGACGGCAAGTGGGATGGATTGAATGTGGAATTTGGTGCAAAATGTTGTTGAGTTGGATTGTAGGCGGTGTGATTTGAGGGGAAATATTGATGTGAAAATTGGGTTGAATTTGAGGGGAAATGAGTTGATTGGTTGAAATTTGCTGTTGGTGGTGTTGACAAGTGGTGGGATTGATTGTGAATTAAGTGAGAGGCACTTGGCGAATGTTGCTGTTGAATTGGTGAATATTGATTGGGACTTGGTTGAGAGTGATAAGAGTGTTGTGATATGAGCGATGGGCAGGGTGATGCTCCATTAGATGGCGATGGTGGTGGTTGATTCAGGTATGTCTGGGTGTTGTTGGGGGAGTTGTAGGCCGAGACCGGTATTCCGTACGATGCTGAGGTTGGCGGTGTTTGTTGGTTTTCTGGATACCAATATGGATTCATCAGATAGGGATTGTACTCCTGGCGGCGAACCGCTGCATTCTGGTACTCTCCGTGATGAGCAATCAACGGCGTGCCGTTTATTTGAAACATTTCTGGCCACATCTGTAAATAGACAATAGATAAAAATTAGATTTTTCGTCTTGTATTTATTTTTGTATTGATATTCATTAATGCAATTTGTAGCATACATCGAATTTATGCAGTTGTAGAAATTCATTGTGTAATGTATATAATAATTAACAGATTCTATTGATTTTAGTTTAGCAAATTTTGAATTGAACTGTATTAGAAACAAATATTAAAAACAAACATCTTGTTCTTGATTTGGAACAAGAAGTGTTTGGTTTAGCACAACAAAATTTTTGTTCAGAACATGTTCTTGATTTAGAACAACATGTTATTGGTTTGGAGCAACAAGTTCTTGGTCTAAATCAATAACTTCTTGGTCTAAAACAACAAGTTCTTAGTTTGGAACAAATTCTTGGTTTAGAGCAAAAAGTATTTGGTCTAGAACAACAAGTTCCTGATTTAGAACAACAAATTCTCGGTTTACAACAATTTCTTGGTCTAGATCAACAAGTTTTTGGTTTGGAACAATAAAAAGGTTTCAGAAAGAATTTTGTTTTTGAGCAACAAGTTCTTGGTTTTGAGTTAATGACAGCGCATGCTTGACAATTTTGCTAGCTAATGACTTTCGCATGATGGAGAGTGAAACAAAAGGGGCAGTGATTCTTGGTACTTGTCGCAAGACCTGTACATAATTAGAAGGACTAGCAAACAATAACAAAACCGTACATGTGGACCCCGTAGTAGGCGTCACTTAAATAATCCCTTGTCAAATTTTTCCAAACCAAAAATCGTCTGCGGAAATTATGCAATACGAATTTTTGATTCAGCCAAAAGAACCGAACCAAATTTATGAGTTTAGTTTAAGTATTTGCTAATTTCAAAAAAATATTTTATTTAAAGTGATGTTTTGAATGTTTCAGAAAGTGTATGCAACAAACAAGTGTGTTTGTTAAAATAAAACACATATACTTTTAGTATTTAATTGTTTTTACACAAATTTCGATTAACATGCTGTACGGTTTTTGCATTAAAAAAATCAAAGTTTTGTTGTAAATTTTTGTAAATCAATGTTTTGTTGTATCAAAAATTTTCTCTAACTCCAACTTATTCTTGAACAAAAATAGTATTTATGATCATAAATAGTATTAATACCGAAACAGATAATTTTATTTCCAGATTAATTTGCAAAGTCCCATTTGGGTACAAATACATTTATGCTCAAAAATTTCCATCAACTGTTTCAAAATACAAAAAAATAGAAAAACTCAAAATAATAATAGGTTTAGAAACCAACCTGTGGATGTTGCATAATGTAACTTCTTCACAATCAGGTACTCCCAAATGGAAATCACAATCAAAATTGCACTTGAACTTTTTTCGATGAATCTCAATGTCAATTGCACAAAATCACATAAATTTTTCTCGAAACACCGAATAGAGAAGAGAAATGTCTTATTAAATAAATTCAGTTAAAATTGCACAAAATCACAAAACTGAAATTTGTTTTTTTTCGAGACAGAGTAACAGAAAAAAACACAAAAAAAACTGATTGACCGGAGAACGTCTCAGGTGGACGAAGTTCCCTTCGGGCGTTCAGGAGATAATTGCTGGTTGGTGAGCGTGTCGCCTCGGGTTTAATAACTGAGTGGACAGCAAACCAGTGAAGAGGGAGGTTCATTGGATCCTGAAAGTGAGAGTGGGGGGGACACAGGACCACTGTAGTGTGTGCATCAGGTTTCGAACGCAGGAAACGCGCAGGCTCTCTCCCCACTTCACAAAACATAAATCAACCCCAAACCTCAAGATGTACTATGAGAGAGAAAGAGAGACTGTATGATATATCCCAAGGAGAGAGCCAAAAAAGGAACTCTGAACCTTTTGTGGCCGCCCTTGTGGCCCTTCCAATACTCTCTCACTATATAAAGATCTATGCCAGATTCCGAGGATTCCCATCTAAGATTTAGAATTCCACTTTTTTCTTCCCCCTTCCCCAAAAAATTGCCTTCGATTTTTCTTTTCCTTGGTAATAATCTGTTTCGTCTATCTGCTATTCTTGAAAATTCAATCCGATTTTCTTTTTATCCTGCTTTTTTTATATGGCGTTTCTAGTTTTATAATCCGATGTTGTAGTTGAGTCCGGAATTATTAGGATCAATGACATAAATATAATAATACAATAGAGAATAAATTTATTTTCTTTTTATGAAATGACTTGATTTTTATGATACGATTTTTATGATGCTCTTTTCTTATGATTTTCCTAGTAGAATTAATTTTTTTCACAGTTTTTCTAAGGATATCAAATTGAGACAAAAAACAAAATTGTATCAAAATTGTTTTAGCAGCTCTGCTATGCACCCAGAATAAAATTATTTGTCTCAGAGCTTACTGAATTAATTATTTCAAATAAAAATTTTGTTCCAAACAAATAAAATTTATTAGGTGCAAAATATTTTTGTGATCAATTTTACTTGATTCAATTAAATTTTTCGTCACAATTATTTTTGTCTAATAAATTTTGTATTTAAATTTGGTTCAAGTAGAACTTTTCTCTACAGATGTAGAAAAGATTTCAAATATATTCCATCGTGTGTGTGTGTTAAATTGATACGAATCTTAATTACACATGTTTAGTAGATTAATTAAATAATTATACAGGTGAAAAAAATCATTAATAATTAGATAATTATTATTATAAACGAGCGTAAACGTTATTGTGTTAAACACGAGGTATTATTATTTAATTAAAGTAATAAGATCGAAAGGATGTTAATGAAATTTGAAACATAAGTTGACTTATATTTACCTGAAAGAGAAAATTATAATGAGATAATCAAGATATTTAAATTACAATATTCACAGGACGAAACGGTTTATAATAATTAAGTCTCTAGTATGCTTTTAATTAATAGAGCTTCTAATTAGACGATAATTTTTAAATTTTAATCCATTCCCTGTAAATGACATTATACATATAATTATAAATATAATATAAAACTCATTGACACTGTTTCTTATTTCCCGGGCGTTCAAAAAGAAAAAAAAATCGCACATTTCTTAGCATGGGACACATACGAGTAATTTATTTTTAATTTAAATGCATTGTGTGCATAGAGGTGCCGTTAATGTATATCAAAGAAAATGAGCATCGTGTCTGTAGATCATTATAACAAAATTGAAGGACTGATAAATATCTGAGAATATGGTTCATTAAAAATCCATTAACTCCCGTATACATTTATATTAGATATGAAATCTAAATATCGTCTTATAGTTTATTTTCTTAATTAATTATAAAACCCGGTTGTTATTAGTATAAACCCTTAATATCGAATTACACGGAATCCTAGCATCTAATATGTTTTTAATTGAAGTTCGCAAATAAATCAGGAACTGTTTTAGAACATATTTCTCTTTATATAAATGAATTTAATAATGACCTGAATATGATTTTATTTTTTAGGGAATTAAAAATTTCGCAGTATGAAGTTAGTTGTTGTTTGCTTTTTTGTTTCCTATAACTTTTTAAATAATTTTTCTTTTTCCTTTTTTTTAATTTTAAAATTACATTTGAAAATAAAAGAATTCTTGCAAAGAATTTTATACAAAAATTTGAAGATAATTGAATTTCTTCTAAGAATTTTATCAAAAAGTTTCAGAATAATTAAATTTTATCGAAGAATTTTAGTCCTAATATTTTTTAAAATCCTATAATTCAATTCTTTTGATGAAATTCTTTGAATTTTTTTATAATAATGAAGTTTTATTAATAATTTTAATTGGGAATATTTAAAGTAATTAAATTTTATGAAAATTTTTGTTAAGTTTTTAAAATAATTGTGTTTTTTAAGAATTGAACCGAAACATTTAATAATTGAATTTTATTAAAATTTTCAAAAATTAAATTTTTCTGAGAATGTTATTACAATTTTCTAAAATAATTTAATTCATTGAAGGAATTTTATTAAAATACAGAAAATATAATTAAATTCTTTCATTAATTTTTTTTAATTTATTGAATTTAATCGATTTTGTAATTGTAATTCATAATATCATTATTAAAATTTTATTAAAATTTTTAATAGAAATTTAAACTTTTTCAAACAATTTTATTAGAGTTTTTGTAAATAATTAAATTTTTTCGAAGAATTTTTTAAAAGTTTTTTTAAAAATAGTACAGTTGTTTTTAATGATTTTAAGCGAAAATTCTGAAACTAATTGAATTGAACAAAGAATTTTTTTCAACTTTTTACTTGGATTTTTAATTAGAACTTAATTAATTGGATTCTTTTAAAACATTTTATTAAAACTTAAAAAAATTGAATTTTTGCAAAGAATTTTAGGCACTATTTATAAAAATAATTGAATTGTTTCGAATAATTAATTATTATTTTAGAAAATAATAAAATTCTTTTGTAAAGTTTTAAAGCGAATTAAGATAAAATTGAATTTTTTTGTGACATATTTTATTGAAAATAATGAATCTTTGCAAAAATTTTACTAACTAAAGTAATTGGATTTTTGCAAAGAATTTTACAATTTATAAAAATAAAAATAGGAATTGAATTATTTCGGAAAATTTATTATAATTTTAGAAAATAATTGAATTCTCTTGGAAATTTTTAAAGCGAATTAAAAAGAAATTAAATACTTTTGTGTTATTTTATTGAAAATAATGAATCTTTGCAAAGATTTTACTAATTAAAATAATTGAATTGATTCGAAGGATATTTTAAAATTTTTTTAAATAATTAAATTCTTTCAAAACATTTTATTAAAAAATTAATAAATTGAATTGCTTCGAAGGATTTATTAAAATTTTAGAAAGAATTCAATTTTTTTTCTGAATTCTTTATAAAATTTTTCAAAAGAATTCAATTATTTTCTAAACAATTTTACGAAAGAATTCAATTTTTTTTAAATTCAATTTAAAATACTTCTAAAGAATTCAATTTTTTTCTTAATTCGATATAAAATATTTCAAAAAAATTTAATTATTTTCTAAAATTTTAATAAATTCTTCGAAAAAATTCAATTATTTTTGTAAATAGTAAAATTCTTTACACAGTTCAATTATTTTCAAAAAAATATTTCACTAAAGAATTCAATTTTTTTCTTAATTTGTTATAAAATTTTTCAAAAGAATTCAATTATTTTCTAAAACTTGAAAGAAATTGTTTATAAAATTAAATTATTTTAAAAATTTTTAAAGAAACTTCATTATTTAAAAAAAAATTCAAAGAAATTCTTCAAAAAAAATTTAATTAGAATTATCCAAAGTTTTAACATAATATTCTTCACGAGAATTCAATTATTTTCCTAAATAAAAAAATTCTTCGACGGAATTTTATTACTATCAAATTATTTAATAAAATTCTTTTCAACAATTCGATGATTTTCAATACATTAATTTTAAAATTGGAAATATTTGAAAAGGCAAATTATTAAAAAAAAAGTTACGAAACAAAAGAGCAAACAACAACTAACTTCAAACTGCGAACAGATTACCTGAATATGCCTGAATACGACGATTATTAATATAGTTTATTATTATAATATTATAATTTATAATATTTATTTTTATTGTTATTTTTACTAAATCGTTGATCATAATAGTGAACCGAAGAAAAGTTTAAAAACTACAAACTTCGGTCAATAATATAGCATAAATGATGAAAGTGCCATTTTCATGAAGTTTAATTTCAAATCATAAATTAATCACCCATTTGGTTGGCATAAAGAGACGGAAATAGAATATGGAAATTTTCGTGAAGAAAAGAAAAGTAAAGCGATAAACGATCTCCACCTTCCAGATTATGTATAAACTTAAGAAAAGTTTAGTCAATTCAAAGAAAAAATTTGTCACACCTGGGGGACATAAGTAGTATTAGAGAATTTGACAAGTGTTCGAATTTCAAGAAGAAAGTCATCCCTCTCTCTCTCTCTCTCTCTTTTTTTTGCACTATAGCGCAAAAAGAAATCGAGTTTTCATCATTTTTGACCTGGGTGTATTTGCAATTTGTATCGGTCCAGCGCGTCTGAATGTCTCTTTGAAAAACGCGTGGCGAGAAAAGGCTGTAAGATTTTTGGTGGAGATATATATACATATATATATATATATATATGTATAACGAAGAACTAGAAACTTTTAACACGTGTTAAAGAAATAGAATTTTGGGAAATACACACTGCGACCTTAAAGTTCAGTACTGATGGTCAAGACCGAATATAACTAGCACCCGGACCTTGAAAAGATATATTTCATCCATCCATCCCTCTTCACAGCATCCACCGCAAGAAGCAAAGGCGAAGAGATCATTTATTTCTTCGGTATCTCTTTGTTTCTATGCTTACCGGTGACGAGACTTAAGAGATGGACTTCTTCTTCTTCTTATTTTTCTTCTTCTTCTTCGTCTTCTGCTTTCTGTGTATATAACTGCAAAAGAACCGCGGTCCAACAGATCTTCATAACTGATAAACTGTGCGCCCGTTTTTAACGAGCTAACTATTCCGTGTACCACCATTTTTCCACTGTCTCAAAGAATATCGTTTCCACAAATCGATTCCTTCAATTTCACCTGGAAATTTTATATTTATGATGAGTTCTTTTCTTTTTTAATTTGACGCAATGGTATGAAGTTCAGAAGGTTTATCCTAATAATCTTTT